CTAAACCCTAAACCCCTAACCCTCGACCTTCAGCTTAAAACCCAAGAAGCCAGCACAAAATCAAGGCTCCACAGCAGCCTCGGCTTCCTTCACCGGCGGCTGCCGCGGCAGAAGTGGTCGGTTCAGGTCGTTTAGGGTTTGCCGTTTAGTTTTGGGGTGGTTCTAGGAAATTTTGGGGTTACAGGGTTTTAAGGTGTGGGAACTTCGTGGGCGCTTTTGGGTTTGAGGGTTTTAGGATTTGGGGTGGTAGTGTTGTGGGTTTCAAGAAGGGTTCAGGGTTTTGAAATTTTCGGGGTTTAGGGTTTCGGGGTTTGTCACAGTATAGGTTGCTCTTCATTTGCATTCTGCTGCACCTGCAAAACCTACGGTCGATTTGTGGATGCTCAGAAATACCTGAGCTTTCGCAGCATTGAGGCAACAGGCAGTCTGCGGTGAGTGTATTGCATCACGTTCCGCTTTTGCAGCGTAGCGGTTCGAGTTCGGGGGTGCGGGGTGGCAGAAACCCTAAACCCTAAACCCTAAACGCTAAACCCTAAACCTCAAACCCTAAACCCTAAACCTTAAACCCTAAACCCTAAACCTTAAACCCTAAACCCTAAACTCCAACCCTAAACTTTGAACCCTGATCCTCCTCCACCACCTCCTCCTCGCTCCTTGTGCTTCTCTTCAGCAGCCTCTCGCTAGCAATTGCGTGGCAGGATCAGGAGCAAACGGTAAAGACTCAGGAACCGCCAAACGATGGTGCACGGCTGCGAAAGCTCCGATAACCGTAAGAGCAGTAGCAACACCACTCCACAAACTCATCCTCCGAGCTGCAACAGTAAAGAACATGATAGCATCACGACTATGGCGACGGCGACGACGATGACGGCTAATTCTACTACCACCACGACGACGACAACTACTGCCAGTACTAGATACTGCTACAACCACCACCGCGACGACACTACTGCCACCACTGCTACCAGGTACAGGCCAAGACCTACATCCTCCATGCGAGGCACCTCCGGGTGTGCACGAAGGCGAGTTGGTGACACCCCACATCCCAAGCGCCAGGAGGGTCTTATAGGGTTTCTAGAGGGGGGGTTTAGGGTTGCAGGGTTCAGCGTTCCAGGGGGGGTGGTATAATAGGCTGTTTTTCGGGTGGGGGGGAGGGGGGTCAGCGTTTTCTTTTTAAGAAGCGCTCGGAGCCGGAGCTATCCTCATCTTGGAGCGATTCGGGTTGCGTTTTTTTTTGGAGCAAACGCCTGATGTGGTAGGAAGTCAGTCACTTGCTGTTGCAAACGTAAGGAGACGGGCCGGGACAGGCACGGGCCACGCAAAGCTACGTGTCACGGCCGGAACAAGAGCAGCACATGAAAGAAGCCACGGAACGGATCCTGCAGACACCTAGGCAGTGGAGCCGCCCTTGCGTCCGAAACTGGAACGCCCCTGAACCCTCAACCCCTAAACACTAAACACTAAACTCTAAAGCCAAGGCACCCAAGTCCCCAAAAAGCTTTCGCCAAGCCTGCAGACGGCGAGCAAAGCCTTGTGGAGGAAGGAGATACATTTTCAGGGTTTAGGGTGTAGGGTTTAAGCCCAGCGTTTGCTAGACGTCTCGGACTAAAACTGCAATCCCCGAAAACCCTACACCCCCAGCTCAACCCTCAACCCCTAACCTCCAATTTCGAATCCCGAATCCCTAACCGTAACCCGTTAACCTTAAACCCTAAATGACTACGCTCTACGTCGGAGTGACGGATGTAATATTGAAGTAAGGCAAACGGGGGCCTTCAACAACAAGAGAATACCTAAGCGCCAAGCCCAACATCCTAAACCCTACACCCCTAAACCCCTAAACCTCTAACCCCTAAGCCCTAAACCCGAAACCTAAACGACCGGAATCTCTAACATCCCTAAACCCTACACCCTAAACCGTAAACCCCAAACCAAACCCCAAACCCGACACCCGAAACCCTAAACCCTACATGCCCAGAGAGGCGGAGAACGCTTGCTGGGGCTCTGCTGGGCGCAGGCCGCTTCTTTTAGGGGCCGGCTTGGCCGCCACGGTGCTGGTCGGGGCCCAATGGATGGAGGGGGTTCAGGGTTTAGTGGTTTAAGCGTTCAGGGTTTACCCAGAGAGCCCAATACCCCTTAATTAAGGAATATACTGTAAATCATTCTAAGGCCCCTATAATTTAAGGTAGATTCCTTAATTAAGGGGTACTGGGGGTTTTTCTGGGTAGGGGCTTAGGGATTAGGGAGCGAACTGGCGTGGTTCGGGTGTCGACGGTTAGGGCGGTAAGGGTTTCGGTTTGGGGTTTAGGGTTTAGGCTTCAGGGTTTGGGCGTGTAGGGTTTCTTTAGGGGTGACCAGTCCTTGCAATCCTAAGGCCTAGTTTCCGAATACCAAAACCCTTTATATAATTTGTGGGGGTATACTCTACCATATTGAGACCAGCAACCCGAGGGAATGATATTTCCAACTATTCAGGCTTCCATATTGAAGCACTAAACCTGAACCCTAAACCCTAAACCCTAAACCCTAAGCCCTAAGCCCTAAGCCCTAAGCCCTAAGCCCTAAACCCTATGCCTTAAACCGTAAACCCTAAATCCTGCAGCTAGGTGCTGATTGGCAGTGAGCTCGCCTGTCGAAGGCGACTTGCACAGTCTGTGAGGAACGTGCTGTGAGGGCTTAGGGTCACAAGGGTTCAGGGTTTAGGGTTTAGGAGTTTAGGGTTTAGGAGTTTAGGGTTTAGGATTTAGGGGTTTAGGGGTTTAGGATTTAGGGGTAGGGTTTAGG